TTTGCTTCTTTCTCAAAACGAAAAATACCTTAAAAAGCAAAACATTTGAATATTAAATTTCTTGTTACATTTTTACATTTTTTCTATAAAATTTTTTGCTTAATTTTATTTAAACGTTTTCTTATATTTAAAATATCTGTTAATTGATATCTTAATTTGTAATGTTATTAATGATTTTTATTTCGAAGAGATATCAATGTTTATGAAAACTGATAAATGTAATAATTAATAATAAAAATAAATAAATTTAAAAAGACGTATGTGAGTAATAAAATTTTCATTAATTATATCATTTATGATAAATTCATGTATTACTTCTACATCAAAAATGCTTTTGTTTCAACTATTTAAAAAAGGTTGTTCAATTTGTTAAAGGTATAATGTGAACAATCGACAAATGCTTTTCCGATGACCGAGTTAGCAAAACGCTTTATTCACATTTCAAAACGTTTCGTTGCAATAGCTTTCATTGGGTAACTGACTAAAGACTAAACAATGGTTCCACTTTTAATCGATAACGGAAGCATGATATACGCTTCATTGTCTTCTTAAATCTTTGTGAGTCGGCTAACTCAAGCATTTTAATTTTTAACTAATCAATTAATTCAATTAATTTTGTTATTTAATTTAATTAAATGTTCGCTTACCGTGTCCAGAAGCTCAATAATTTTTGAGAAAAAATACCACCAAGCGCCTCGTGACATCTATACATCCGATACATACATGTAATATTGCGAAAAATATATGTTTTATTTACTAAAAACTACTATTTTTAAACTATTTAAATTAATTAAATTATTTAAATTAAATAGGGATTAGTGAGAGAGGCAACCGGAGCCACGTGCGGTAATTATTGCGCAATCAATAAATAGTCAATAAGATAAAATATATTATTGTTTGTTAATATGTAATTTTCATGTATATTAATTTTGTTTACACGCTATAGATGACAACAAAAAAAGTGTCAAAACGTCCGAATATGTATTGACTAATATTTCATCTTATCTTATCTTATCTTATTAACTATTTATTAATTACGTATTTAATAATTACCGCGTGTGGCTCCAATTTCTATTCCCTAATTGATTTATTCAGGAGAGCCTATACTTAGTTCATTATTTGAATTAAATTAAATGTTATTAAAAATTAGGAAAAAGGTATTTACCGCTTGTGCGTTTGTGTTCTGTAAATTAGGTGACAAACGAATATTGCATCCATGATTAAAAAAGAAATTCTTAACATCGACGTCCCATATCTGAAATTGACGAACATTGTCTAGAATAGATTATTATTGTACATCTCAAAACGCACATGACAAGCTGATAATTTAATCAAATCATTTTTCATTTAATTTCCATGTATTGATCTTACTTGATTTAGAATAATTGTATATACATATAGTATACCTATACAGGATGTATCATTTTGATCAATGCACTTGGATTTCTCCGAAATCATGCAAGATATCAAAATTCTGTTTTGTATGATATCAAGGGGGACATATTTTGATTTTAAAAAATTTGATCTCGGGTTTTATCGTCAAATAAAAGTTAACTTTATTTTAAAAAATGTCAAAATAATTTGTTTAAACACCTATGTTTATAGCCCATCTCATTACGAGTTCAACGCGCTATAACTTAAGGTCGTCGAAGATCAAATGCGAGCTGACAATATTATTGCCTTTGTACATATTTGAACTGCCGTGCCTGGTTAGGAATGCAAAAGCAGCCAGTACCTTCTTGATACTATACAACCTCGTAAAAAATAAGATTTTCATATCTCTGGTTTCGGAGAAATTCGAGTGTATTGATTAAAATAAGACACTCTGTATATTGTTAATTTCAAAGGTATTCATTATAGAATTTAAAATTTTCTATCAGAAAATTTTGAATTTGAATAACATTAAGTATATAAATTATATAATGTAATATTTTCAAGCTATTCAAACATACAATTAATTAGTATTTATCTAGCATATCCTTTTTATAGTATTTTCAAGTGGTTTACATAACACTCTTTTGTGTGTGAATATAGAATATGAGAAAATGTGGAATGAAGTATTCATATATCGTGACACATTTTCTTGTTTTCAATATTAAATGTACTGATGAAATAAATGTATTGTAGGGAGGATTAAACTTACCAAACTTGTCAACCAAATACTGAAGAGTACTTGAAATGCGTTATATAAGATCATAACGGTATTCAGCTGAAAAGCCGGCCGTTTTTCCATCATTTTTGGTCCAGCTTTTAAAACAAATATTAAATATGCGCCGACAATACATAACATAGGACCTGGAGATTCCATTAGAAGCCAAGTATCCACCATTGGATCTGTCGTAGAGGATTGTAATTCATTAATTTTTGGCAAATTTTCGAAAAAATAACATATTTTATATGTATATAATAAATATATTTATATCTAATGGTGGTACAGAGCAGGTACATTATGTTCTAGTAATAATAAATTATGTGTAATGTGATAAAACAAAAACCAAAGTAATTGTAAATTATATTATCAGAATGTACGAGAAAACAGTTTGTTAAAATCTGTGAAGTGTTAGGCGTATTATTACGCTTCTAGTTATTACGCTTACATTGCAAAAAATTAGTATTATAAATAATGTATCATTATACGCGAAATAAAAGGATTATTGCCACGACACTTTTAGTAATTTTACGTGATTTTCCTGGTAGATAGATACCTGGAACATACGTGCTTGTGTTATGTTTATTAATTTCTGTGGTAATTTATGCGAGTGCATGAGAGACGTCGATAATGAACTCTGTACACGATTTTAAATATCTTGCACTTAAATGCACTTATGAAAGATTTCGCGTCGTTTTGTTAAAAAGAACTTACCTCTAACGTTTTTTAAAACCTCGTTATAATTGCTAACAACAAGTCGTATAAGACTAGTCATATTGGTGATGTAATTTTCAAAAGATAGGGATAACTCTTGAATTGTTTATCAGGAAATCTGAAATATGTGTAAAAGAATTTAGTAATCACTTTAATTTTATATACCTCAAAGAGATATATTATTTGTAAGTGTGACAGAAGAAGTAAAAAAGATACATCATTTAGATGCTTATAACATCAAAGTTAAATCGATATTGATTTAATTGGGGGGAAGGGGGCGAGAGAAGAGATTTTAATGATCCAACGATAACTGATGTGTTTTAATTTGGTCCGATAAAAAATTGGAACCAAGTTAAAAAATATATGTGAATAATATGCATATAGAACTAGTAATAGAGTATTAAAGATCCAAGCTCAGACCATAAATAATAGTTTATTCTAATTTGATCGTATATCATAACGATCTTATTTCTTTTAATATTATAAGAATTTAAATTTGCAAAATTAAAACAATTGTATCTTTATATTTATGTGAGAATGTATATATCGCTTATTTGCTGAATGACGTAACTAAAAAATCGTTCTTTTTGAGTTATTTGTACAGGGAAAAAGGTAGGTTACATGTACTATTTATAGTTAAATCGACAATACTTAACCTTCACGAACTCATTTGAGCGAGCAGCTGTGTCACTATCATTCAGGGAATTATGTAGGTTACAATAACGTCTTATCTCAGTCTTATCTCCATTGTTATAGTGAGAACATCGTAAAAGTTGCAAAAAGAGTGCCAATACGGTATTTTAAAATTCTCATAGAAAGTTATAATAATTCAAAACTTGAAATCGTGTCTGCTGAAAAATCACAAT